CCCAGCACTTGGTGTTATCTTTTTGATTATAGTCTTACAAATGTGTAGTGGTATTTGATTATCATTTTAACTTGCATTTCCTTAATGACTAATCATGTTAAGCACCTTTTCATATGCTTATTGGTCATTTCTATGTCTTGTTGGGTGAAATGTCTATTCAAGTGTTTTGCCCATTTAAAGCAATTAAATGTTTTTTGTTGTGGTAAAAAGTTACCTTTCAGACCACTGTTTACTGTACAATCCAGTATTACGAAGTAAATTGAGCGTTGCACAATCATCACTACAATTCCTTTCCCAAGCTTTTCATCATCTCAGACAGAAATGTTTCGTTTACACAGTGGCCCCTCATTCAACCCTGCCCTCAGCCCTTAGTAAAATCTGGTTTCCTTTCTGTCTCTCTGATTTTGCCTATTTGCATCCTCATAAAAGTGGGGTCATACAATATTTGTCCTTCTCTGTCTGACTTGTTTCACATAGCATGTTTTTTTAGATTTATCCACATTGGGGACCAGCAGTTAGTGTAATGGCTATGTCACTGGACTCTCATGTAGCCGACCACGATTTGAGTCCCAGACCCAGTAGCTTAAACTCATGCTGGGCGCGTGTGCGTGCGTGCCCAAGATCCCGAGAGGAGAATGGAGGAGAAGGGATTGCGGCGTGGCCATCCCCCCTGGGGGGTGATTTCTCGCTTTCTGTCTCTCTATCTCTCTCTGTCTTTCCAGCAAGTGCATGCGCCCTATAGCAAAAACCTCTTAAAAAAAAAAAAAGATTTATCCGCATTGTAGCATTGTATCAGAACCCATTTTTGAATTGGGTTATTTCATTGAGTTCTTTGTTTTATTATTGAGAACTTTGGTAAGTTCTTTATGTAGTTGACATACACGTCTTTTATCAAATATGTGATTTGTAAATACTTTCTCTCATTTAGTGGCTTATGTTTTCAATTTCTTAATGGCATCTTCAGAAGAGTGTAAAAGTTTTTCATTTTGGAGGCCAGCCGGTGGTGTGGGAGTTCAGGCACTGGAATTCCACACGGCTGACCATGGTCTGAGTCATGAACCCAGTGACTTGAAATCATGCCGAGTGTGTGTGCGTGTGTGCCCAAAATCCTGAAGAGGGAATGAAGGAGAAGGGATTGGCTTTGTGGCCTCCTTCTTGGGGGATGATTTCTCACTGTCTCTCTGTCTCTGTCTCTCTCTGATAAGTGCACATGCCTTATGATAAACACCTAAAAAGTCTTCATTTTAATGAAATCCACCAATATTTTTCACTTGTGCTTTCTATTTTTTTTTTTTTTTTTGTATTGTGTCTTAAGGACTGTTTACTTAGTAACCCAAGTTTACAAATATTTTCTCCTGGGGCCAGCAGGTGCCATGGTGCTTAAGGTGCTGGACTCCCACATGGCTGACCACAGTTTGAGTCTCAGACCTGGAAGCTTGCTTTCACTTTCACTTTCTCTTTCTGTCTTGTTCTCTGGTCAAGTTAAATAATAATAACAAATAAAATAAATAAATCTTTTTAAATAAATAAATCTTTTTTTTAAAATTTTTATTTTCTACCTTAATTCACTATACACCATCACAACACACCAATGAATTTTCCATCCAAAATACACTGTGCACTGGTTCAATCAAGCACATCAACATACATGTTCTCAGCAAGTAATTTTCCAATTCTTACATCCTGCATACCTTGCCCTTTGTCTTGCCATCCCTGATTCCCCATCCCCCACCCTCTGCCATGTCCCATCTTCCTCCTCCATTGTC